GGGGTCACCATAACATGAGGAAGCGTATTAAGGGGTCATGGCATTAGGAAGGTTGAGAACCACTGCTTTAGAGGCTTAAAGTAAGTCCAAAAAAGTTCTTTATTGATGAAAATAAACAGGTACTTTCAAGCTTTCTTAACAGTCTATTGGTTCTTGAAATCTTGTTCACTGGGAACAGGCACTATCTTCATAACTGTAATTAACTAACGGGGAAATCCTTAACTTCTAATCTGGGCAGTCTGTCCTTGCCTCTGTTGGCGTGGAGCCCCTGCACCCGGAACCAACTGCTTCTGGCTTCCGCAAGAGACCCTTACCAAGCAGAGCTTTGTAGACTTCCAGGGGAAAAGAAAGAGTTCAGGTTGCTGTGATGGTTGGCTGAAGTCCCTCAGCAAAGGAGCTGTAAGGCTGCAAAATCCTCAGCCAAGCTGTGGGCTGTATCTCCCCGGCCAAGCAATAGAAGACGAAGCTTTCTACAGGAGCTCTTGGAATTATGTCCTGTGCGGAAGGCTTCTCTGTGTGGACTGACTCAAAATGGCTCCTATTCCCACTAAAACTCAAAAAGGGGCGGGGCCAGGGAACCTAATGATAATTGACAGGTGGCTTGCCCTATGATTGCAAACTATAACAGGAAGCCACCCTGCTGCAAAATCCCAAGCCTGGGATTGCAAACAAACATTTAATGCAAAGCAAACAGAATTGAAGCTCCTGGGACAGCTGTACCAGCACAATTACTGTACCAACTTAATTTGTTACAGTTCAATTACTTTTAACTATTTTGGACCAGTTTTCATTCCCAACCATGTTTTTTTTTTTACACGAAAAGCAGTATCTACAAAATGCTCTTGGAGGGAAAATAAATGCACGTACTTGAAGCAGTTCTCTTCGTAAATGCTGTTCCAAATCTTCCAGGCTTCAGGCCCTTTGTAGCCGGTGTAGCGCTCCGGATTGATCAGCAAATCCACGTATTCTGCCTCAGGAGACTGGATGTCTAGGAAGGAATAAACCCCCAGATTAAGGGAATGCAATATTCCTGCTTCTTGACAGAACGGGGATGGACTGGATGGCCCATGAGGTCTCTTCCAACTCTTTGATTCTATGGTTCTATGAAGCTGTTTCTGAAGCCATGGAAGATCTTCCTAAGATTTAGGTGGAATCTATTTATTTATTTATTTATTTATTTTATCCTGCCTTTCTCCTCTTAGGGATTCACGGTAATTAACAGTGACATGAAATGACACAATAGAATTTAATGAGCCAGGAAGGGCATGGG